GGCGGCGGTCGGCGGCGGTGGTTGGCCGGAGCTTTTGAATCTTTAAGGTTTGATAAAATATCACCTTAAAATCTTCTAATGGATTACCTAAACACCTATTTCAATTAATTTTGGTGGAGCAATTAATTGAATCTCCCTAACTCTCAAATATATGAAGAACACGATTTTTCTCTTCCTTATAGGAACCTTAAAATCGAGTCTCTCTTGTACATCTCAAGAGGTTGGGACATGGTGTATTTATAGGCTCCATTAGGGACCTTAAGGAGGTGCCAAATATGGGCTTATCCTATTAGGCTAAGGAATCCTAATTCTACTCCATAAGCTAATCCCAACTAGGTCATGATTCCTTTCTCCTAACATCACCTTCTAGAAGACTCTCAAGTCTCCTAACCCTAGGTCATATTCTAGAAGGAATATTCCCCATCTTATGGAATATTAAATATAGAATAAAATTAATTCCTAAAATCCTAATAAAATTAAATAATATTATATCCCACTAGAATATTATTATTGCTCTCCCCATTTGGCTCCAATTTAATCAATTAAATCAAACCTCCACTTGATTAATATTTATTAATCTGATTGATCGATTTACCTCCCTATGTTTAAGATATGACGTCCGTTGATTAATTAAATTACTGACAAAATAATTAATCAACTTCTTATTCATTTCCGAAACTAGTACCACTCAGATCGTTAACCATTATGTCGGAACACATCCGCCTGCAGGGCTTGACATAATATTCCTTCCTGAGCTCATTTCGAGGACGTCATCAACCCAGCGCACTGGGACACAGTTACTGTAAATAATTTATAATAGCATAATAGCACACTATATAAATATTTTTATTTACCAAAATACCGAGTATGTCATCCTAACCGAATAGGAATCACCCTTGGTAAATCAAATAAATAAGTAATAAATATATATGCCTATTTTATATTATCTTACAGCGTTAGAGAATGTATCAATCACTGAAGGTCTAGATTACAACAACGATCAGTGAGTCTCATAATCTTTGCCTTCCACGGTCCTGTTCAATACTTAACATAAGTACTAGTGTAGTTCTCCAGTCAACGATCAACTGAATCAAGAATACACTACAGCCTTTTTCCAAGTGGGGTCTCACTGCCAGTCTAGACTGTGAACAAATAATTTAGTCTTACAAGGAACCGATAGGTGACCTTTCTGTTCGAGACACCACGAACCACACTATCTCAATGTAAGACAAGGAGTATGATTGCATAAATAAATAAACTGTAAGCATATGTACTTTGACCGAAACATGATTGCCAGATCAAAATGAAATTGTTTATATCTGAAAGCCAAGCTTTTACAGCATATCCAACAATTGGCTCCTTAGCATTACTGCACAACCAAGTAGCACAACCTCATTCAAAGACCAAACCAGGTCGTCACCCAAGGTAGGACAAAGAAATCATATGAAGCATATTGATAGCATAGAAGAACGGAACAACATGGTCAAAGTTATAAAGGAAACAATAAGAGTCATTAACAAGGAAATATTTCTAAAAACAAACTAAGTTATAATTAAGGCAAGACAAG